ACACCCCAAGGAATTCAGTTTTAAGGGAATAATTACAAAGTGAGTTTGGGCCAGCCTGGATTTCACGAAACCATTTCTCAATAAAAATATATAAATTTAGTTTAATAAAAAAGAAAAGACTTTCTGTTACATTGAATACTATTTCAAGGAAAAGTGGTGGGCAATACCTATAATTTGAGAATTTGGGAATCTAAAATCTTTCTTCATGATGCCTTTTTTTCCCACAACTAGGGAGGTTCTTAGGAACCACCTAACTCCCCTTTGTAGCATTCTCTCTTGATCTCACTTGGTTTCAGTTTGGGTCTCTGTGTATCTGAGGCAAGCACCTACATAACTCCATATCACACTAAATCCTGTAGAAAGGGATGCATTGGGAGGGGCTAAAGAATCAGAAAAGGAGTGTAGGGAAATTGCTCAGTAGGTAAAGTGCTTGCTTTGCAAGAATGAGGAGCTGAATTTGGGTCTCCAGCACCCACGTAAAAAAGTCAAGTGTGGCAATGTGCACCTGTAACCTCAGCACTGAGAGAGATAGGAGCCCTGGAGTTAACTAACCATCATCCTTACAGCTAACAGCCTTTTGCTAAGTTAATTAGCCAGCTAACTCATTTATATGAGTCTGCTATTGCTTCAAATCTGAGAAAGATGAAAGCAACTTATCAAAGGAGCCTTTCCCAAAGCTTACTCCTTGCACATCAGTTATACCTAATTGGGTATTTTGGAAATAGCCCAAGTAAATCTGTTAATTTAATCAAAGTTAAACACATTTCTTTGCTGCTCTATTTCTTAGCAGCTTTCTTCCTCTGGTGCTGGGGCTGCCTTGGGAACAGTAAACAAGGACTCTGCCACTGAACTACAGCTTTAGTCCTTGGTAGTTTGAGACAAAGTCTTAATATGTAGCCCACACTGGCTTCAAATTTACAATTTTGCCTCTGCTTCCAGATGTTTAGATCATAGGCATACACCATCATGCCTGGCTTCTTAAAGGCTTTGGAGATTTCTAAACACATGTGACTACACAAATTATGTTTTGAAAATATCATAAGGGACGAACGTTCTACAGAGCTCACCTTGAGGGCACTGGGGGAAGAAGGCTTTATTCTCTGAGCATTATAATTAGTGCTATAACCGGGTGGTGGTGGTGCATGCCTTTAATCCCAGCACTCGGGAGGCAGAGGCAGGCAGAACTCTGTGAGTTCAAGGTCAGCCTGGTCTACAAGAGCTAGTTCCAGGACAGGCTCCAAAGCTACAGAGAAACCCTGTCTCGAAAAACAAAACAAAATAATTAGTGGCTATAATTGTAGTACTCCAAAGGTCAGACAATATGAAAAAAAATGGCCAAATTTGGTTTGAAATCTGGATGTTTCATGGTATGTGTGTGTTCAGTGTTGCTGCTATGCTTTCCCAGTGTATACACCAGACCACATTCTGCTACTATAACAAAATACCTGAGGCTGGATACAGAATAAAGGAAAGAGTTCATCAAGCTTGGTTTTGGGAGCTGACAGTTCAAACAGCAGGACACTAGGTTTGGTGGGCTTCCCTTAACTGGTAGGTGACCTCCTGGTGGCAGCATGCTTGAGAGGAAGACATCCTACAGCCAGACAAGGTCCCAGAAGGGTGGGAGGGGTTGGGCTCATTCTTTTGTAAGAACTTACTTTTATGAAACTAACTGGGGTTCCATGAGAAATTACTTTTCAAAATTCTCTATGTTAAATTTTTCTTTAAAATTTTATTTTGTGAATTTATTTATGGGTGGGGGCACACCATAGTACACACTTAGAGGTCAGAGTCATTGTTCTCTTTATACCACGTGGATCCCAGGAATCAATCCCAAATCAAAGGTTTGGCAACACATTCCTTTACCCACAGAGCCATCTTGCAGACCCTCCATGAGAAATTACTTGGATCCCTCCCTCCCAAGGATGATGTATCCAATGACCCAATAACTTTACGCTATAAACCCTTCCTTTTAGAAATCCCAACACCAATTACACTGGTGGAGCTGGATGAAACTGGTAATGTGAACACAAGAGGACAGACCAGAGCACTTTATAGTACATAAATGTATTTTATGGAAAAAAATCAAAATTTATATTCTTTAACTTAACACCTTTCATATTTTTAACTCTTCCTATAAACTTACTAACTCTGTATGGCCCCTGGTTGGTGGTGCGCACCTTCAGTCCCAGCCCAGCCCACGAGAAGCAGAGGCAACTGGCCCTCTGCATTCAAGGCCAGCCTTGTCTATCTAGGGAATTCCCATATATATATATACACATACATACATACATATATGTTCTCAGACACTGCACTAAGCATTCTTTTTATTTCTTTTACTGCTAAACTTCCCCACTATAATTAAAAGTTATAAAAAGTGACATTTCCCTTTTTTGTTGTTTTTACTGAGCTATGAAAGTGGTGATTTCTAGTTCTTCTCTAACCATTCACAATGCCAGACTCCCCTTCCCCACTTCCTAGCCACATGGTGGCCCTTTCTTATTGAATTAAGGCTCTTCATGGAATCCTAAGTATTGCATAAACCAAATCAACATTCCCTGATTTCATTCTTTTATTTTTTTGACAATGTCTCACTATGTAGCACTTGGTTGGCCCACAACTCTCTATGTAGATGAGACTGGCCTAGAACTCAGAGACTTGTTTACCTCTACTTCCCATAAAGGCTTGTACCACCGTGCCCTGTGCTGTTCCCTTTAAGACAAGTCTGGCTGTGGAGTCTGGTATGACTATACAAGATCCTCCTGGTTCAATCTTTGAATGACAGGCAAGTGTCACCATGCCCAGCTCATCTTGTCCCTTTTTGTTTTGCAAGTAGTTAAAATCCACTAGAATGTTAACTTAAATACTGAAAGGAGAACTAGTCGTGATAATTCCCAGCTGGTCATTTCATTGTTCTGTAATATATTTGTTTATGCTTTCAAACTACATCATGAGCTCTCTAAGTTAAGTTTCTTTTTTCCTTTATGTCTAATCACCAATAAACCTCCTAATATAATATTTCCCACAAATTCCTCAGGGTATGATTATAATGACAGGCATATATCTCCAAGCACACTTGAATGTAATAAAATGAGCCAGGAGACCCATGATTCAAAACAAATATCTCTATTTTCTAGAAGATGCGGGATGGTTTAACAGCAACTGTTTTGAATGCAGTTTTATGGTGAAGCATTCTGCTATATGCTAGAAAGGCAAGCATTATAGGTAGCTGCTGAAATATGTATGTATTTATGAATATATCATTGGTAAAGGGCCAAACAAAACAGAAAAGTATGACTCATTGTAAACATTCTCTAACTGTCCTTGCATTACTATGGGGTAGTTACTGGGTTGTTTAAATAATGTATATATAAAATGAATTGCTATTTACATTTTTCTCAAAGGCATTGCAAAACCGTCAGCTAGCAAAGGTTAATTATCCTTTATTTTCCTGTCAATAGGTCGAGGAATTACTTTTAAGTAAATAGACACAGAAAGATTTTACTACCTTTAAAGGGCAGAGCAAGCACTCTAAGTAAATGCTTTTTTTTCCTCCAAAATAACTCAAAGTTCAACCTAAGACCACAAATGGAAGAATCGGTAACTGATCTCAAGAGTGGTTGAACCGGAAGAAATCTTAGAAATCATGACGATATCTTCATTTTACAGATGAGGCACAAGTTTTAAAAACTGCTTCAATCAAAGGAGGCTGATTGAAAAGGGAACAAAAACGTCTTCATGGAATTCTAAACAAAACTGATGCCCTTTAACACCTCTGAAAGCTGGCCTTACCATTTCTCTACTTCACACACAAAAGTAAGAAAACTAATGTACAAGCAAGCAAGGCAGTTCCCTTATTATCTCTACGAATTAGTGTCGGACCCAGAAATGAAAGCCAAGATTTCAGTGTTGACCATTCTACAGATGTAGGCTGCACTCATTCGGAATGGATGCTGGTTGGGAGCGAGGGGGAGCCATGTTTGGAAGTTCCTAAATGGAGTTCTTTAGTTCGCAAGCAGAGCACTCGCTGAGAGATTTGCCTAGGTAGGAGAGTTACGATTGATCACGTGATTTTAAAGAAATAAAACAGTACATTACCAGCTTCCTTACTAAAGGTACTGTTCGATCCAAAATAACTGGAAATAGGCTTTAGATATGATTTGATCTCAAGTATCCAAGGAATTCAGTCTTGGTTCTCCTTTCTGTAACGTCAGTCGTCTTTGTACAATCTCTCAGGTTCCCCAGTGGACATTTAGAATGAGACTATTTACTTGAGAGCCTTTTTCTCCATTTAGAAAAGAATTTTCTCTTGTTATCACTCCAGAACGTTAAGTACGAATCAACAAAATAAAGGGAAAGTTGCAGACAAACCTCAATATTACGTTTTCCACTAAAGATAACAAACTTTTAAAGGCAACTCCACCCTTTAAACACAAACACACACCCTCAGTTGTGTCGGTGACTCCGACGTTTCATTTAGTTGTTCTCCAGGACCTACTCCCTAGGGTCATGGCCCAATATTTTCTGATGACCACATTTGGTGCTTTTCAAATCAATTAACCGCATGCATCTCGCTGTGAACCGTTCCAATGGAGCCCAGACCATAACCCCGGCTGGAGTTCTGCTTGCTGAGAACTAAAGATTTTTCACAGATCAGGGAACCCCACTAGGCATTTCTACCGCCTCTTAAGAGGCTTGGCCAAAGCTGAAAAGGGGACGTTAGGAGGAAGGTCGTTGAGTCAGGGCGTACGTGCGAAGTCGAGTTTGGGAAGAAGCCAGCGGTGGAGCCAAAGGAACCCAGATGCCAGAGGAGCAGACAGAGCTGGGGAAGACCAGGCGACCCTGGTTAGGACGGGAAAGGAGACAGAAAGGGGGCGCAGGAATCCGCGCTAAAGAAAGAAGAAACTGCGGAGGAGGAAGTAGCCCCTGGAAGGGGAGGGGCGAAGGGGAAGCGAGCAGCGAGCGCTAGCACTTTCGAGAGCTCGTAGCGGGTGACTCCCTACCTGAAGCGCTCCTGCCCCGCCGTGTCCCAGAGCTGCAGCTTGATCCTTTTGCCGGGCTCAATTTCCAGTAGGCGCGAGAAGAAGTCGACGCCAACCGTGGGGTCGCAGGCGGGGGAGCGAAGCCCTGGGAAGCGGCCCTGGGTGAAGCGGTGCAGGAGGCACGACTTGCCCACCGTGGAGTCCCCGATCACGATGAGGCGGAACTGGTAGATCCAGATAGTCTCCATCGCTTTGGTGCCCCGAGCGCTCAGGGGCAAGTTCTGCCGCGGGAACTGTCCCTTCAGCACCTCCGCGTTGCGCGCCCGCCCGCTTCCAGCATCTTCTTGCGGCTGCGGCCGCCGCCTGGTCGCCGCCCTCTGGGGAGGGAGGGGCGGGACCGCGGGCAGGGGGCGTGGACCTGTACTGCCTGAGGCGGGGCTTGAGGATGAGGGCGGGGCTACAAGTCAGGGCAGGATCGCAGGTAAGGGGTGTGATCACGGGCTGGGGGCGGGGATCTAATTTCCAGAGGCGGTGTCTTGGGCTGAGGGCGGGGCCCCAACCATAAGGGGAGGGAACTGACTTTCTGGGGGCGGGGGTCTGGGCTGGGGGGCGTGGCGAGAGCCTCTGCCTAGGATGGGGGGGTGGGGGGAAGGAGGGGATATGGCAGACCCCAGACTCAGTCCAGCACTTTAGTCCTGCAGTTGCTGGAAGCGGATCAGGAAGTGAAAAGACGTGACAGCAAAAACAACCAATGAAAATGTATTAGAGGGTTAAACTCCAAGAGAGTTCAGCCAACGGGAAGTGAGAGTCATTTTCTCTCACGCGTCTTGGTGGGTTCCTCATATTAGGACTCTGATCTCGGAAGTCCTCCAGGCGCTAATGTGTTTCTGTGTGTGGATTCGTGATGTCCGTGTTTTTCGGAATAGTCCAGCTGGCGGCTTTCTGCTGAAGGAAACGGATTTGCAGAACTAGCTCTGATTGTTTCTGTTAAGGACTGCCTGTTGCTTTTTGCCACAGCGTTTTCAGGATTAGACAAGTAAGAGAAACGTCCCAGTTCTAGCCCTGAGGGGACTTCCAGCCTGGGGGGAAAAAGTTGAAACGTTGAGAAACGCGTTCAAGTCATCAGTATTCCCGGTTGACAGCTTCTCTCCGCTTGCATATGGCCAATGAGCTACTAAACGAAGTAGAACTTAAATTTAGGTGATATCTTATCATGCTCTCATCCCTTCCCTCAAATTTAATGATAGCTAATTTAAAAGTTCTCTCCTTGCCTTGAGGATGTAGCTCAGTTGGTAGAGTTGTTTAGCCATCTGACACCCTGGATATAGCTCCATGTAAACCAGGCGTGGTGGCCTGCAGTTATAATTCCAGCACGAAGCCGGGGGGTTGTGGTGCACGCCTTTAATTCCAGCACTCAGGAGGCAGAGGCAGGCGGATCTCTGAGCTCGAGACCAGTCTGGTCTACAAGAGTTAGTTCCAGGATAGGCTCCAAAGCTACAGAGAAATCCCATCTCGAAAGACCAACAGAGAGAGAGAAAGAGAGAGAAAGGAAACTCCTATTTAGAAGCGCAATTATAATTTTCACAAATACTGCAAAGAACATGAACATACATATCCCATCTGACTTTAATTTTATGAAATTATTTTTGTCCCTCTATTAATAAACTCTACCAAGCTCTCTGTCAAACACTGGGTAGTTTAACAAGATCCAGAGTCAAGCAGCTCAAGTCAGAGATTTGGCTCTAGGTTCATCTGTCTCTGAGGAACAAGAGGTTCCAAATACTTCACGCAGCTCCCTCAACGGTCTAGCTCCAGAATCTTGGTAGGAGCCACTGCAGAAAGTTCCACTTTTGGCAGAAAATCTGTGACCAAGTTAATCCACCTACTTTAATGTATAAAAGGCCTCTAGAAAATATATCAAAGTGTCATAAGAACAGACAGGAGGACCAGTGGAACCAAATAGAAGACCCGGATATCAATCCACACATCTTCGAACACATGATCTTTGATAAAGAAGCAAAAAATATCAAATGGAAAAAAGAAAGCATATTTAACAAGTGGTGCTGGCATAACTGGATATCAACATGTAGAAGAATGAAAATAGACCCATATCTATCATCATGCACAAAACTCAAATCCAAATGGATCAAAGACCTCAACATAAAGCCAGTCACACTGAACCTTATAGAAGAGAAAGTGGGAAGTGCACTTGAACGCATTGGCACAGGGAACCACTTCCTAAATAGAACCCCAGCAGCATAGACACTGAGAGAAACAATTAATAAATGAGACCTCCTGAAACTGAAAAGCTTCTGTAAAGCAAAGGACACGATCAACAAGACAAAACAACAGCCTACAGAATGGGAAAAGATCTTCACTAACCCCACATCAGACAGAGGTCTGATTTCCAAATATACAAAGAACTCAAGAAATTGGACACCAAAAGATCACATAATCCAATAAAAAAAAGTGGAGTACAGACCTAAACAGAGAACTCTCAACAGAGGAATCTAAATTGGCTGAAAGACACTTAAGGAAATGTTCAACATCGTTAGTCATCAGAGAAATGCAAATCAAAGCAACTCTGAGATTCCATCTTACACCTGTAAGAATGGCCAAGATCAAAAACACTGACGACAACTTATGCTGGAGAGGTTGTGGGGAAAAGGGAACACTTCTGCATTGCTGGTGGGAATGCAAGCTGGTACAACCCCTTTGGATGTCAGTGTGACAATAGCTCAGAAAATTAGGAGACAGCCTTCCTCAAGACCCAGTAATACCACTTTTAGTTATATATCCAAAAGATGCTCAATCATGCCACAAGGACATGTGCTCAACTATGTTCAAAGCAACTTTGTTTGTCATAACCAGAACCTGGAAACAACCTAAATGCCCTTCGACTGAAGAATGGATAAGGAAAATGTTGTACATTTACACAATGGAGTACTACACAGCAGAACAAAAATAGTGACAGCTTGAACTTTGCAGGCAAATGCATGGAGCTAGAAAACATTATTTTGAGTGAGATAACGCAGACACAGAAAGACAGTTATCACATTTACTCACTCATAGGTGTTTTTTAAACATAAAGCAAAGAAAGCCAGCCTACAAACCACAATCCCAGAGAACCTAGACAACAATGTGGACACTAAGAGAGACTTACATATATCTAATCTACATGGGAAGTAGAAAGTATAAAAAGACAAGATATCCTGAGTAAATTGGGAATATGGGGACCTTGGGGGAGGATTGAAGGGGAAAAGGGGAAAGGCAGGGAGGGGGGCAGAGAAAAGCATAGAGCTCAATAAATATCAATAAAAATTGTTTATTAAGCCTACCTGTAGTGATGCATGTCTTTAATCCAGAGGCAGAGGCAGAGGCAGATGGATCTCCAAGTTTGAGGCCCTCCTGGTCTGTAGAAAGAGTTCCAGGACAAAGAAACCCTGTCTCCAAAAAAACAAAAAACAAAAAACAAAAAAAAAACAGAAAACAATTTGCTTATTTATTTATAAGCAGGCTTTCACCTTGTTTCTCTGGTTGACCTGGGGCATTGAAAATTAGGCTGGCCTTGAACTAAGGGACCTGTCTGCCTCTACTGCCTGTGTTTTAGGATTAAAGGTGTATGCCGCCACACCTGACTTTGAATGAGATTTACTAGTAAAAAGTAAGTCAGAAAAAAAAAAAAGTAAATCAGGCTGGGTGGTGGTGGCACACGCCTTTAATCCCAGCACTCTGGAGTCGAAGGTGGAACTCAGTGAGTTCAAGGTCAGCTTGGTCTACTAAGTGAGTTCCAAGATAGTCAGGACTGTTACACAGAGAAACCCTGTGTAGAAAAACAACAACAACAACAACAAAAAGTAAATCAGAAAGCCAATGAGAAAATGTAAAACCTAGTTTAAATGTTTTCTAGCCAGTGTTTCATTTTGTGATGCGCACCGAGGGGCATCTGATTGATTGGATTTCCTCTATTGACTTCTCTGTGCTTAAATATTAAAAACTAACCTGTAGCCCATATCTAGGATCCTAACACTCGGAAGGCTGAGGCAAGAGGACTAACTCATGTGCTGGGCTAGCCTAAGCTACGTAGCAAAACCATGGTCCCTAAACTAAAGACAAAGAATGAATTCTTCAGCCACTGCATTGTGAAGCCTTTGCACCTCTCAGCTGGGCTAATGTTCTGCTTCACTCCCCACCTCCAATCTTTTGTTGTTGTTGTTGTCGTTTTTGTTTGTCTTTTCAAGACAGGGTTTCTTTGGGTAACCCTGGTTATTGTGGAACTTGCTCAATAGACCAGACTGGCCTCAAACTCAGAAATCTACCTGAGTTTAAAGATTGAAAATATGTGCCACCATGCCCGGTCCCATTGCCAGTCTATGTGATCCTGTAACCATTCAGGTATTTGGATAATCTGAACAAATAACGGGGGAATCCTGAACTGGCGATTTAAATCTATAACAATATTGAAAAAATTGCCTTAAGTATGTTATATCGTCAATCAAGTGGACTCTCCGGATGACTATCACACTGAGCAGAAGTTCAGGCACGTGCACTGACCTGACCTTGGCGTGCACATCCTCAACTGTAGCCACTAAGAGCATCTCCTGTGCACATTCACTACGTTCCCTTTTAAAAGGACGCTGCCCACCTCCCATCTAACTCTTTTTCTCTGTCTGTCTGTCTCTCTCTACCGGCCCCCAGAGGCCAGTCTCCTCCCCTTCCCTCCTTTTACGTTCCCTTTCCCTTAATGAAAAAACCCCTACATGAACTCTGTCTCATGGCGTCTTTCTCTCGCGTGCCGCTTTTTTTCTAAATTACAACAGAAGTTACAGCTCATCGCCCCCACCCCCCCAATCAGTAACCTGAAAGCCGCTTGCCTACTTCAAGAGAAAACTGATACAATGGTAACTGACGTGTAAGAGCGACTTCAATGGTGTACATGTCAACAAATACGTCGTATTTGTCCAGACAGGGCACGCGAGTGAGCCGCGGTGCTTTGGCGGGAGCTGTGTCTGTGAGTGGCTGATGAGCCTCCCCTCCATTACCTTTCTGAAATGCCACTGCTTTAAATTTTAAGTTTTTCAATTTTTAAAAATGTATTTTATTTTATTTATTTTTCTAAGATTTATTTTTATTTTATGTGTGCACTAGTGTCTCCTCTGTGTGAGGTTGCTGGATCCCTTGTGACTAGAGTTACAGACAGTTGCGACCTGCTATGTGGGTGCTGGCAATTGAACCTGGGTTCTCAAGAAGAGCAGCCAGTGCTCTTAACTGCTGAGCCATCTCTCCAGCCCAGAGTTTTTCAATTTTTTTTTGTATTTTTTATCGTTTTTATTGAGTTATACATTTTTCTCCATTCCTCTTCCTACCTCCCTCCTGTTCCCTTCTACCCTTGCGATTA